CCGAAGATGTTCAACTGCCCCCCAGCACAATAAGGGGGATTACCAACAGCCCCCTGGCAGTCTTCAACTGGCACTGGAAAACACCTAAAGTCATTCCGGGATCACCCGGGGGTGTGGCTCGATTTTGGGGTTGGTGCAGCCAGCAGCAACACCTGGTTGTCAGGCCCGATCCCCAGGGGGTGGTTCAGAGGGGGCCGGGGGGGGCGTTGCCCCTCGGAACTTTTCCCCAGGTAAACTCCAGGTCCCCTTTCGCTTTTTTTTCGTTTAGGGCAGGACTCACTTCTTTTCATTCATAACATCAGCAATCATGTTTCTTGTCACCCGCATCACCCCCGCAATTTAAACACCAGTTTTTAAAGTTTTTTTCCCCTTTTTTTTTGTAAATGTCTACAGGAGAAGGGGTTACTAGCCCATTGCCCCCGCTTTTTAGTCGCCTCATACACACGCATGGCTTACGGAGGAAAGTTTTCTTTTCCCATTTCCCCCGGACAATAGAAAAAATAAAGAAGAAAAAGGCTATTTGAAAAAGGAGAAAAACCTGTGTATTTTATAATATATATGTGCTTTGTTGTGAAGTGGACCAAAGTGAAAGTGGGATAGAAAGATACCCCCTGTTACTAGCTGTTTATAAACAGAAAAAAAACCACAATCTCCCATCATGAAAAACAGTTACAGGTTTTTGTTTCACGTCTCGGCGATATAATAAAAATTTTTTAATATTAATGTGCTACATTAACAGTTATAATAGACGGCTTAAAAGGCCGTCACAATGGCGTGTTTCCCAAAACAAAAGGGGGGAGCATGTAGCTCCTCCCCTTTTACAAATGAATATTTTATTCATTCTAGAGTATATATCTTTTCTTTGCTATTTTTTTTTGTTTTTTGTGTCATTTTTAGTGAACTTGTATATAAATAACCCGTATAGATGATATTGCGAATTATTAAACAAGATTTGCCCGGTCCCCAGACAAACTCTCATCCCGACCCCGCCCATACCACCACATAATGATTTTTTTTTTTCATTTTGGTATATATCAGGTTTGTATGTTTTTACATTTTTTATTATTTTTATATTAGATGAAGTGGGTAGATAAAAACCCTTTTGAGTTTAAATTAGCGAAAATTTTGAAATACAAATTTCCCTGGGAAAGGGTTAAAGTTTTCAAATTTAATTTTAAAAAGAGGGAAAAATTTACTTGCAAAAAAGCAAACCCGTTCGAGCAAGGGAAAAGGGAAAGGATTAAACTTGCAAAGAGGTTTCCCTGTTTTGTAACTAAACCAAGTGGCTACTACAGTATCTGTCAGTCTGTCACATTGCAAGTTGCTTGTAAAACTTACCTTTTCGTTATCATATGGGTTATAGATCTATTCAGGCTTTAATTTTTTCCTTAACTTTTACATTTTTTATTATTTACTTTTCCCAATATTATCCCAATACTAGAAAGACAACACAAGTTTCATTTACCTTTCCCCAGGGTTTCTCTTTGGTGCATATCAACTTTACAGAAGGGGTAATCCAATGTGCAAGGAAACCATAAAAAATGTACATTAATTCCTTTTTCCCGGTTTTTGAGTATCGTGTCTGGTTCTCCCGGAAATGTTGAGTCATCATGTGATCAAGAACCTTCAGTTTTAACATAGAATCAGTAATTATATAGTCAAACTCAGTGTCATAATTAACTTTGGTGTAAATGCCAAAAATTTAGTTGCAACGTAGAGCTTGTTACTAACTCTTTGTGTGTAAAATTAATATAGTTCCCACATTTTAATAGGGAGGTGTTAAGAGCAGATGCAGCCTTTGCCAGGAGACTCCTGTTAGATCCTTTTGGGATTAACTTTTTAAAAAATTAATTTCTAATGTTAACCCCTTTTGGGGGGTTTTGGGACGTACTAGTAGTCTTTTGACCCCGGGTTTTTTACGTACTAGTAGCCCAAATTTTAGCGCCCCAAATCTAGTGAGAGAAAGCTGGTAGGCCACATTAAAAAATTGGTCTATGTGGTCAGTGTGCGAGTATAAAAAAAACCTGCGCACACAGTGCGTAATGAGAAAAAAAAAAACTTTGTTTTTTGGGATTAAAACAGCAACTTTGCACTGTATTTTCGTATGGATTTTTGTTGTAAACTATTTTCTTGGGCTCATTTTATAGAATGGAAGACATTTGCAGAAATTTGGGTATTTTATGGTTTTACTATGAAAAGTACCTTGAAATTTGGTGAAGTAGAGAAAGTTTGATTTTTACCAAGTTCAAAAGTAAACAAAATGCCAAGCGTCCCAAAACACATCAACGGTGGTTTTAATATTTTTTCCAATGCACCGATATTTTTTATACCATTTCTACATAATGCGTAGTCGCATAAAAGTAAATTATTTTTTTTTTAAGAATAAAAATTTTAAAGGGAAAAACCAAAGAAAAAAAGAGGGGCCCGGGGTGTGACTAAAGAACAGAGAATTTTTTATTTTAGTGCCAGGAATGTCTTTCTTGTTTATTCTTGACCCTATTCGGAAATTGGAATCTTTTGAAATTTGTGTGAAATTGGCAGAATTGCTAAATTCTGACCACTTTATTGGATAGTTGAAATCGGTAAATGGGTGGTTTCTTGTACTCACTCGATAGAAAAAATGGAGTTCTAGCGAAATAGTTATGATTTTTGTTGACTAGTACACTGGAATTGGCCGAAAATAGGGCTCAAAGTGGGCAAAATTGCCGATGCGTAGACATTGTCGAAACCGCTAACTTCACGAGAGCATAATTCCGTAAGTTTTCCATCAAATTTCATACTTTTGGTGTCATTATGATCGGGAAAAGATTCTCTATCTTTTCATAAGAAAAAACAATTTTTTTTTTTTTTTTAAATTTGGCCGACCCTGAGAACAAATCTCTGAGAGGACCTGTCGACCCCCAAAGGGTTAAGAGAGAAATTTCTTCTTGAGCAGTTGCTTTTGGGAGGGGCTTACAGGTATGTGATATTAAATAAACACATCTTCCATGGAGGGGTGAAATGTTCTTATTGTCTACAGTGATACAGTTTGTGCAAGTTATGAAACTTAATATAATTGCAGGTTTTCACAGCCCATTTAGATCTATGAGTATTTACTTCTAGACATTTAGTAAGATTCATAGTGACAGTGTCTGGTTCATTTCTTAACGTTCTAATACCACGTACGTATGTACAGTGTTAATCTTGATTATCTTATCACTGATACTAGACATACCAAGCTCCTTCCTCATATTAAGAATTTTGGTAGATTTAGGACGACCAGTAATAATTTTTAGGGCTTTATTTTTGCATAAATTCCATAAGCCAGAGAGAATTTTTCTTAGCTAATATTACTATGGGCACAGAATAATCAATGAGGTTGTAGCCGGCAACAACCTTGAGAGCATTTAGCCTATCATTGCATTTCTTATTTAGTTGTGGTATAGTGGATTTATTGAAGGGTACGTCTGCACCAAGGTATCTAAGATTTAACATAGCTGATGTTTTCACCCTGCAAACGGATGGATGGGGCATCTCATTTGCTTGTTAACCCTTTCAGGGTCCGTCCCGTAGATCTACGGCTTTACGTTCAGGGTCCAAACCGTAGATCTACGCCATGAGCTCAGCTCACTCTGATAAACTGTGAGTGGTACATTTGGGCCTAGATATGAGAGAATACATCTATGTGGTATGTGTGCACCACATAAAACAGATCCTGCAGCATACTGTGTATAATGAGAGAAAAAAAATGAAATCATGATTTTTCGATTAAAACAGCAACTTTGCAGTGTTTTTTCGTATGTTTTTTATAGTTGTATTTGCGATTTCTTGGTCTCATTTGATAGAATGGAAGACATATTACAGAAATAGAGATGATTTTGATTGGTTTTAGCACTGGAAATGGCTTGTAACTGAGCTCAAAGTAGCAGAAATGTTAAATTTTTGCCGATATTCAAGAGTAAACAAACGACTTCACACGTCTAATACACGACAGCTGGTGGGTCTAATATACATTCACATATATGGTGATGATATTTATACAATTATTACAGTATTGCATAACAGTAAATCTTCTATTTGTTGGTGTGAATAAAAATTCATTATGTGAATAAAAAATCAAAATGGAATTTATTTGTAAAGCCTCAAAACATAACTAATGAACAGAGGAAATGTTAGTTTAGTGCCAGGAATGCCTACATTGTTCATTCTGGACCCTATTTTGAAATTGGAATATTTTGAACTTTGTGTTAAATTGGCCAAATTAACAATTTCCGATCACTTTATTTTGTAGTTGAAACAGTTGACTTGACGATTTCTTGTGCTCAATCGATAGAATAGAAGTAATACTAGTGAAATAGCTAAGAATTTGGTTGATTGGAATAATGCAATTGGCCTAAAATGGGAGTCAAAGTCGGCAAAATCGCCGATTCGTAAATATCGCTGACACATCAAAATTCGCGAGAGCATAATTTCGTTAATTTTCCACCAAATTTCGTACTTTTTGTTTTATTACCTTCACAAAAAGATTCTCTACGATTTCATAAGAAAAAATAACAATTTTTTTTTTTTTTAAATTCTTGGACACAGGTGCGTGACTCCAGATTTGGGCCTTGGACCCTGAAAGGGTTAATATCGTTATTTTAGATGAAGATTTGATGAGGCCTAGAAGATTACAAATTACTCTTCTTCTTATGCCCTGTTGTATGGATCATGATGTCATTAGCATAGCTACAGCATAGTTCATTACCAACAAAATTTCAGTGATGCTGATTACTTTATATAGGAAACCATCAGGTACAATGTTCTCTGTAGCTAAATGTAATGTCATTCAGATGATTATTATTATTATTATTATTAGTTTTTTATTATTTTTCATAAAATATAGCACAAGGCTTAAAAATTCTGAAATGTTCCTGTAATATTTGATGTATTTTGTCTTAATTTTGTTGTATTAGTGATAAGTTTTTAACCCTTGTGAAAGTTTAGTGTACAGTACAGTGTACATGTATAATATGTATTTTTATAATTTTTTCCAAGTAGTGATAATGTTTCTTATCATGATGTGGTCCAGGCTGAGTGCTGCAAAAACTTAGAGTGGCTGTGTAAAGGTCTGATCAAGGATCACCAACAGCCAAGTGTACGCTACATGCAGGAGTGGGGAGTGGCGCTCATCACAATAATGTTCCCGCACCTCTTCCCCCACCTTCTTGCCCACTTCCTGAAGGTCAGGGTACATCAAGACCAGCTCATATTCATTTGAGCTTACTTTACAGCCCATAGTAATGACCTTGCTTGATACTAGTTTTATGTATTGCATTGTATCATTGTAAGAAAGTTTATTGTTAAAAATGTTGTATGACTTACAATTGTACTGATAGATGCAATAGACATGCAACAGGCATGTGTAAGCATGTTAGATAGGAATGAATATAGATGAATAATTTTTGGGACCTGATGAGCTGTTGGAGTGTGAGCAGGGTAATATTTTATGAAGGGATTCAGGGAAACTGGTTAACCGGACTTGAATCCTGGAGGTGGGAAGTACAATGCCTGCACTTCAAAGAGAGAGGTACATGATAATATATACCTGGAAGGAACTCGAGGGCTTGGTCCCTCGAGTGAGAGATATGGGAAGAAGTGTAAAATAAGCCCAGTGAGGAGCAGGGGTGCAGTGGGGACAATAAGGGAACACTGTATCAACATCCGGGGTCCCAGACTTTTCAACATCTTACCAGAAGATATCAGAAACACTGCTGGAACAAGTGTAGAAGCCTTCAAGAGGAAACTGGACAAGTATCTTCACCAGGTGCCAGATCAACCAGGCTGTGATGGATATGTGGGGCAGCGGGCCTCCAGCAGCAACAGCCTGGTTGACCAGGCAAGCACCAGACGAGCCTGGCCCATGGTCAGGCTCAGAGAGTAAATAAACTCTCGAAACTCTTCAAAGGCATGTCAAAGGTAAGGGGTTTTGGGATATTGGCTGTTTGAAGGGACATCTAAACTGTCATGTCTGGGCACCTTTGCAATGCCAATGATTATGTGTGAATGATGGTGAAAGTGTTTCTTTTTTGGGTCGCCTGCCTCGGTGGGAGATGGCCGATGTGTTAAAAAAAAATTAGTAAAACTTTGATATTCATAAAGAGGAGGAGGAGGAGGCAGCAGTGCAGGAGGAGGAGGGATAAACTATAGTGTGTATAAGTCTCTAACTTAGGTGAATAGAAGAACATAAGAACATAGGAACATAAGAAAGAAGGAACACTGCAACAGACCTCTGACCCATGCAAAGCAGGTCCATGCCACCCCCCCCAGCCTAGAACAATGACCACCTAGTCAGGTCACTTCCACTTAAGAAAGGAGCATGGCACCAGACCTGATAGCCTAAGCTAGTCAGGTCCAACTCACACCCACCCACACCCACTTACGTATTTATCCAACCTATTTTTAAAACTACACAACGTCTTAGCATCTACAACGGTACTCGGGAGTCTGTTCCACTCATCCACAACTCTATTGCCAAACCAGTGCTTTCCTATATCCTTCCTGACTCTGAATTTTTCCATCTTGATGCCATTGCTGCGAGTCCTGTCTTGGCTGGATATTTTCAGCATGCTATTTACATCCCCTTTATTTATTCCTGTTTTCCATTTCTACACCTCAATCATTACCCGTGAATATAAAAGAAACACTGTCTGTTTATAAATTCAAGTCTCTTCTCAAAAATCATTTACTCACCCACAACTAAATAAATACTGAATAATTGTATCTCATAAATTGTATCTCGTAAATGTTTCTCATTATTGTATCTCATAAATGTCTAACCTGTGACCCAATCAAACTTTATTTTTAATTACATTACCTAACAGAATACTCCAATCTACTGAATGCTCAGCAACACAGTAAATGACCATATGACCTATCTTTGTAATACTCATTTGTGCTAAATTGTTATCTGTTTACAATAATGTATTTACCATTGAATATATCATTGCTTAGTTAATCTTAAGTTAATTTTAAGCCTGCTCATAATGCTCTGCATACAAGGGGCTTTGGCATGTTGCACTGTAATAACTTTGTACTTCACTGCATCCTGTTCAAATTAATAAATAAATAAATAAATAAATAAATTCTACGCCTTTCTAGAGCGTGCAGATTCAGGGCCCTCAGTCTATCCTCATAGGGAAGATTTCTGATACATGGGATCAACTTTGTCATCCTCCTCTGTATGTTTTCCAGTGCATTTATATCCATTCTGTAATATGGTGACCATAACTGTGCAGCATAATCTAAATGAGGCTTAACCAAGGATATATAGAGTTGAAGAACAACCTGAGGACTTCTATTATTTATACTTCTTGATATGAAGCCAAGTATTCTGTTAGCTTTATTGCAAACACTTATGCACTGTTGTCTTGGTTTCAGATTACTGCTAACCAGAACTCCTAAATCCTTTTTGCAATCAGTAGTATTAAGATCTACACTATTCAGTTTATAAGTGGCATGGTTATTGTCCTGTCCAACATTTAGCACTTTGCATTTGTCTATATTAAACTGCATCTGCCACTTCTTCGACCACTGCATCAGTCTATTCAAATCATCCTGGAGTGCACAATGTCCTCAATAGAATGAATTGGACAGCCTATTTTGGTGTCATCAGCAAATTTGCTTATGTCGCTATTTATTCCCTCATCTATATCGTTTATGTAAATTGTGAACAACAAGGGGCCCAACACTGACCCCTGTGGAACACCGCTTGTGACATGCCCCCATTCTGATTTCTCCCCATTTATGCAAATTCTTTGCTGCCTATTTGTCAACCACGCCCCTACCCACGAAAAAATTTCTTCTCCTATTCCATGTACCTTAAGTTTCCTCAATAGCCTATAGTCAGGACATCCCAATTTAGCCCACCCAGGTAATTTTTCAGTCCCATGAAGTCGCAAGTGAAAATCTGGGACAGAGATTTGATTGCAGTTATCTGGGTAATTCCATAATATATTGAAACTAAGTGATTTGTGATCACTTATCCCAAGCTCATCATTAACCTCAAGATTATTAATTAGTGAATCTTTGTTGGCAAGAACCAAGTCAAGCAGATTGTTTCCTGTTGTTGGTTCTGCCACAAACTGTTTTAAAAAGTAATCCTGAACTGTATCAAGAAAGTCACTAGGCTCAAGATTTCCTGTCAAATTGTTCCAATCAATTTGTCTAAAGTTAAAATCCCCCATTAACACAACATATTCATATCTAGACGCCTTATGAATTTCGTCCCATAGCAGCTTACTGCACTCCCTATCAAGGTTTGGGGGCCTATATATCACACCCAATATTAATTTTTCATACCCCTCGAGAAACTGTAGCCAAACAGATTCAGTGTCTGAAGTTTCTATTCTTATATCATGTCTAACACAACAAGTTAAAGTATCTCTGACATACATCACCACTCCACCACCCTTCCTGTTGACCCTATCAGTGTGGAATAGTTTATAACCCTTTATGAAGCATTCAGAAGGCATTTCTCTATCCTTCAAGTTGAACCAGGTCTCAGTTATAGCAATAATATCTATTACCTGTGCTTGTGAGTAATCTTAGCTCATGTATCTTATTTCATAGACTCCTACTGTTTGTATAGTAAACCTTAACCCTTTCAGGGTTTTGGCCGTACTAGTATGGCTTACGAGCCAGGGTTTTTGACGTACTAGTATGCCTAAATTCTAGCGCCCTCAAATCTTGTGAGAGAAAGCTGGTAGGCCTACATATGAAAGAATGGGTCTGTGGTCAGTGTGCGCAATATAAAAAAAATCCTGCAGCACACAGTGCGTAATGAGAAAAAAAAACTTTGACCGTGTTTTTGGATTAAAACAGTGACTTTGCACTATATTTTCATATGGTATTTATTGTTGTATTCTTGTTTTCCTGGTCTCATTTTATAGAATGGAAGACATATTACAGAAATTGAGATGATTTTGACTGGTTTTACAAAGAAAAGTACCTTGAAATTGAGCTCAAAGCAGCAGAAATGTTCAATTTTTACCAAAGTTCAAAAGTAAACAAATCATGCCATGCATCCAATACACGTCAACTGGTGAGTCTAATATTCCTTCACAAGTGCGCTGATATTATTTATACCATTTCTACATCAATGCAGTAGTCTGCATAACAGTAAATCTTTTATTTTTTTGTGAGAATAAAAATTCAAAGTGGAAAGCAAAAGAATGTAAGAGGGGCATGGGGATGTGACTAATGAACAGAGGAAATGTTATTTTAGTGCCAGGAATGTCTTTCTTGTTTATTCTGGACCCTATTCGGAAATTGGCATCTTTTGAAATTTGTGTGAAATTAGCAAAATTGCTAAATTCTGACCACTTAATTGGATAGTTGAAATCGGTAAATGGGTGGTTTCTTGTACTCATTCAATAGAAAAAATGGAGTTCTAGAGAAATAGTTATGATTTTTGTCAACAAGTATACTGGAATTGGCCGAAAATAGGGCTCAAATTGGGCAAAATCGCCGATGCGTGAACATCGTCGAAACCACTAACTTCGCGAGAGCATAATTCTGTAAGTTTTCCATCAAATTTCATACTTTTGGTGTCATTATGATCGGGAAAAGATTCTCTATCTTTTCATAAGAAAAAATATTTTTTTTTTTAAAATTTGGCCGACCCTTAGAACAAGTCTCTGAGAGGGCCTATCGACCCTGAAAGGGTTAAGGGAGCTAGTCACTCGTTGCCCTCTACTATCTCAGTTGCTTTGTCTTTATTAGGAACTTTATTTTGAATATTGTCTTTTAAACATATCCCTGAGGTATCCTGGTAATATAGGTGGCCTGGTGGCCTGGTGGCTAAAGCTCCCGCTTCACACACGGAGGGCCCGGGTTCGATTCCCGGAGGGTGGAAACATTTCGACACGTTTCCTTACACCTGTTGTCCTGTTCACCTAGCAGCAAATAGGTACCTGGGTGTTAGTCGACTGGTGTGGGTCGCATCCTGGGGGACAAGATTAAGGACCCCAATGGAAATAAGTTAGACAGTCCTCGATGACGCACTGACTTTCTTGGGTTATCCTGGGTGGCTAACCCTCCGGGGTTAAAAATCCGAACGAAATCTTAATCTCTCTTAATCTTATCTGCTGTTTCCAACAATAATACTGCAGCCTGATTGTTTCCCACAAACACCCATACCTCTATAATCTATCAGTTTAAAGTCCTAGACAAGTCATCAATACC